TAAAAAGGGGATTCAAATGAATCTGATATATTAAGAATATTACTCGTCATTTGATATTCAAGTATATCACGCGTGAACAGAAAATATTTATTCCATAATTTCCACTCCTCCATTCTTGTCGAATCTTTTCTTTTGAATCGTGTATCGCATGTACGAGCGTGTGTGTTCAAAGCTCTTCTTCCACGTTTCTTTCGACGATCTTTCTTTGCAATCTCTTCTGCTCTGAAAAACTTATTCAACTACAGTGCGCTGGTTTGCATTCCCTTCGTCGCAATAGGGCGAGATAAGAAAGAAAGCGGAACGAACTGAAGCTATCCAATAATTCTTTATTTCTTGGAAACAGGTGATTCCCGACAAAATTATCAGAGAAACTAATCATCTCCATGAAATTGAACATTAGACGACTGAGTATTACAATACACGATTAATATAATTGATATAAGAAAGAAAGAAATACGACCTTGGAAATTTCGAAACCTACAAAAAAATGTTGCTTCTCTTAAAACCATGCAAAAGATTTTTCATTTTCATCACGCATAATTCAAATGTTATTTCACAAATTACATGAATCACCTTGTGTATATATATATATATATGAGAACCCGTCTGAAAGAGAGTTTGGGTCTTTAACAAGTGTTAATACGAATCAGCGCAACCGCGCGCCAACGCGAAGTTAGGCGAGATTGAAACGAACGCTTCGGGGTCCTTTCCCGCGTCGCTCGAAACTGTCGATCAAGGATGATACGAGGTAACTCGTCGAGCATGGTGGCGACGTTACATGCCGATGTGACCACATTTCGTCCCCTTTCTCCCACACACACACACATTTGCCTCGCATCCACCGATAATATCGCAAGCTCACGCTCCCTCAGGCGTTTCTAGTATGCAGACGTTCGAGCGTCCTTGGACGAAGCACAGCCCGCGAGACAATTGGCTAATACTTCGCGTCAAGCCGGAAATATGCGGGTCTTGGCTACTGCTGACCGATTATCAAGCTCGACTGCAAGATCTTATCGCGACGAGACGAATTTGGAATTAGGATCGAGATTTTTAGGGAATTTCCATTGGAGAAAATCGACAGAGAACTAATCGGGTCACCTGGTTTTCAGGTCGAGCATTGTATAATAATTCTAGAGGATGGCGTAATTTGAAAGAAAGAGACTATTGTCGGGAGTTCGGAAAAGAAAATTAAAGTCATCTCCGAATTTTCAAAGCGGGTGCTAAACGGTGTTCCAATTTCGGGATTTTGGATGATTCGAGGGAACGAAGTCAATGGGAACAGATTGAATTCGGCATGATAGTTACAGGAGAATTCAATGATGAAAGATTACAAAATTTGGAGATCTTTCAAGCGAAGGCTGGATCGTTTCAAGTCGAATATAATTCCGTGCAATTATTGTTTAAGAGTCTTGAAGGAAAGTTAAATTAAACATTCGAAATTAATATAATATAAAATAATAAATTGAATGAATTAATTAATATAAAATTGAGTGAACAGAAAATTGAATTATTTAATGTATAGGAAAATTCATCAGTCTCCAAAGGATTACAAAGTTTGGAAATTTCCTTTTTCAAGAGAGTGCTACGTTATTCTGTTCTTAAATAATGGCAAATAACTTTAATAGTGAATTCTTACTCCAAGTAGAAAATTAGAATTATACGTGGCAATTGTAAAGAATGTAACTACTATTCAGAAAATCAAGAAGTTTAAGCAAACTTTCTAAAATGATCACGTTATTTTATTCGAAATATTGCAATTTGGAAGAAATTGTTGCCTGGAAATATTCATGATAATATTGAAATATTAATAAAAGAATATTTTTAGATGGAAAATTAAATTTAATCCGGTAATAATAGAAAATCAAATTTAGCGTGCAAACTTTGAAAATTTTTTTTAAGGGGGTGCTACATTATATTTGTTAAATAACTAATTCTCATTCTTCCAATTTTTATTCAATTTTTATATAGGAAACGAAATTTGGAATAGCAGTGATAGATTTGCTTGAAAAAAAATGATAATAAAGTACTGTAGCATCCCCTTTAAAAAAAAAATTTCAGAATCGGTAAATAACTATATTTTTATTTGTTTCATGTAATTATTTGTCCGATACATTTGCTAAGTATTTTTGTGTATTTATTTATTTATTTATTTATTTATTCAAGTCGTACTTTATATTTCTTCATCAATATATTGGTCCATTTAATATCTAGCATTCGGATGAAGTTAAAAAAAAATTACAACACAACACAACATTTTTCCACAAACTTTATGAAATTATTCTCCATTTCGATTTGAATAATTTTGTAAATATAACACTGCAGAAAAAGAAGAATAAACAAACAAATATTGATATTACAGTAACTGGAAATATTAATGGGACATCCAGTTTTCATTATATTCTTTTGCAATTACAATTTTTTAAATATCGTAATTATAACCAATGAAAATCAAATATTTTATTAAGCATTCTTTTTAACTAAAAGGATTAATATTACCACGACAATTCAATTTATGCTTTAAAAATATATCGAAAACCGCGAAACCACATATTTATTAAATTCAACACAGAGAGCAATTAGTTAACTAGTTAGTCTAAAAAAATGACGTATCTTTCGGTTTCACTGTATCAAACGTGAAGGAAGAACTAACTTAAGTAAATTATCGAAGGACTCTGTCAATTAGGAGAACTGTCGTCGGTCGAATTATTATCGACGCCAGACAGCTCCGGTTCATTTTTGGAACTGACAAGTTTCATCTCCCATCTTGACGTCAGACTGCGAAATTCAAGTGGATAATTGGCAGATACTTGCAAGATTTAAGACATTACGGTGCCAAACGATCCGGTTTCGTCGTTCATTGAAATCTTAATTCGAGGAAAGCTGCCATACAAAAATTTATTATCTGCCAATATAAAAATTTATCTCAATCTTTATGACATTTTAATTTCTCTGACGAAACACGTTTATATATTTATATATTTCCAACACTGGGAATTTTTGGAAATTCAAATTATCCTTAAAAAAAATTGAAAATACTTCGT